GATAAACACTTCCCCACCAATAGTAAGCTTAGTAATATATTTAATAAGAACACCCTAAAATTGAGTTACAGCTGCTCGGAAAATCTTGAACGTATAATAAAAAAACACAATAATAAGATCTTGAACAAACCCCCATGCTTGAATAGTATTAATAAAAACCCTGCACTTAAATCAGACAATAAAAGGAAAAAATTGTGTAATTGTAGAAACCTACAAGACTGCCCATTAGAAAATAAATGTTGCATTAAATCTGTGGTATACCAATGTACTATATCATCCACTGAGAGTCCTAGCACTAATATGATATACATTGGGTTCACAAAGAATGATATATATATATATATATATATATATATATATATATAAATAAATATATAAAAGAAAATAATTGTATCAATGAAACAAAGGTACACATAGGCAATAGAATATTGTTGCTTGTTACAAAACAATGAATATGAAGGAAGAAAACATTTAAACTAATGAAGTTGTTTGTTTAGAAGGAAGTGTAACAGTCATGTGTAATAGATAGATGTGTATATATGCATGTGTGTGACAGAGTTCAAAAGTCAAAAGAGGACCAAGTGGCAGCATTCTTATCTGCATGCAACCTACATCTTATTGTTCCAGGGTGAGACAGGAAAAAGAAGATGACTGAGAAAGTTACAGTCTATTTATATGCTGAAGGAGTATCCTCTAGTGACACTTTCTTTTAGGAAAGCAAGAGGTGTAACTCAACAATACTCCTCTCCATATAGGGAGAATTTTATTCTGCCCATATGTCCATAAATTTGGTTTTGCTCCTTGTAGGCTGAAAAGAAAGAGTCAAACAGTGTGGTTTCGATGTGCTTTTAAACATGTTGACATACTTTTCTGAAGTACTGTGTCATCAGGTTGCTATATAATTATCTAGTGAGTCAGAGTCATAGCACACATTGGAATATATGTTGATAATGTAGAAAAAGAGTGTTCAGCAGTTGGTATTAAAATTTTGTTTTCCAATACTCCATGTTGAATTGATTTTATTTGGAAGATCTTGTTTATTTGCTGTGCATGGATGATATTGGTGTACAAAATTTTAATTGAAGCTTTGATTGGTAAAGTTGTCGAGCTGATGTTGGTGAAATTGCTACTGCAAGTCAAATATCTGTTTGCAAGAACTTTTGAAGATATCTGATATTATTGTCAACTTTTCTTGGAGACACAGCTATCTTCATGTATTATCAAATCATACTTGCAGATATCTTAGTTTTTTTTGTGTAAACATCTTTGAAAAGTGAAAAGGGTTAGTGAGTCACCTTTGGAATTATTTCACGCTTTATCTGTTGAGGAGAAAAAATGCTGTTTAAAGCTGAAAATGGAGATTTTTGTGGTGTTTAAATGGTATTTCTCATGTGGTTTACTTGTGAATTCTGGCAGTATCCTTGAAGAAAAATGAGTTTGTTTTTTACTGGCTTCAAACTTTATAAGATGAAAGTTGTATTTTTCATTTTGGTGAAAAAAATTATTTTTTTGTGATGTTTGATGGGGGTAAAAGCAGTCAGGAGAGAAAAGAAGTCTAACAAAAAGCAATATAGATGAGATGTATGTTGTTTGCAATCATAGTAGCAATTGCAATCGTAATTAAGGATTTCTTAGGGGTGGGGGAATCACACATGTTGCAAAAATTTATTTGTTGACTTGGGGAACATCTTGTCCAGATAGTTATGTCATCTAGATGTGTTTTAAAGTTTTGAAATTTGTGATTTTGCTCTTTACATTAGGTCTAATCACAAATTTTGTAACTAGGTTAATTTTGTTGGAAGATTTTAGTGTCTGCTGTTCATGTTATAGTAGGTAGAAGGTGGTCAAAATTTTCTTTCACAGGTTTTCAGCTTTAAAAAAGTGTCTAAATGATGCATGATTTTGTTTATATAGTTTTGTGTGTTTCTTCTATCCAGGAGAAAAATAATTGCATTGTAGTCACCAATCTGTTGTGGGTGTATGCTGATCAAGTTTTTAGTTTTGTAAACACATGTCTCTTGGTATATTTATAGCACAACAAAAAATGGCAGACTCAGAATGTGTTTCTGGGTAATAAATGAACAAAGCAACAACAAAACATAATATATATATATATATACAATATAAATATATATATATATATATATATATATATATATATATGTGTGTGTGTATATATATATATATATATATATATATATATATATATATATATATATATGTATATGCCCTCAGTGACAACATTCTTCTCTACATAGGACCTACATCTTACTGTTCCTGGGTGAGATAGGAAAAAGTGAATCACAGAGAAAGTTACTGTCTATTTATAGCCATTTGGAGCGTCCCCTAGATGTGTTTTTTTTAGGAAAGTACGAGTGGTAACTCCACATTGCTTTGCTTGGGTCAAACTTGATTAAGAAATACAACTTTAGTTTTCCTACTACTGCTATGACTACATGTTTATGCATTAAGAGTGGCTACTTTGTCAAACCCATCTGATCCAGCATGACTGAGATCACTCTGTGGCTGATCAATATATGTATATATATATATATATATATATATATATATATATACATTTAAATATGCAGCAGAAACCAAGAAAAGGAAAAAATAAACTTACATAAATGAAAAGCTAATGACTAAATTCACCATATATTTCTGTTTTAAAACAGAACCCTTAAAAATGGTCATTACCAAGAAATTTCAGTCAGGGACATCAACAACAAAAAAATTGATATTAAAGTTAAATAATCATTTTATATAATATTATCTATTTTTAGGTCTATTTTTAATATTATTTTAATATTTTTAATATTGAGCACTATATATAAAAATATCTGCTGTTTCTTAAATCTTATATATATATATATATATATATATATATATATATAATATAAAATTGTTACCTGCTGATCCAGAATCCTTTAAAAAGGATTTTGGTGAAATAAATTATTGTAATAGTACCTTAAAGTGGTCTGTTTTTCATTAAATATTAGCTCTGTATTCACATTGAGCTCTCAGGATTTCATCCTCCTTGGAATTACCCATTTGGTTTACCAAGTTCTTCATAACTTAAATATATATATATATATATATATATATATATATATATAATTTTCTTGTTTTTGTTGACTGTAGTTTTGTATTTCTTTATAATGTTTCTAAGTGATGATTCATCTTGCTTATAGTTATGCATTTGATTTTTTGTAGAAAATGTTAATGTTATCGTTTTTTGTTTTTTTTACTGTTCAGTGTTGCTATTGGTTACCTTAGAAAGAAAAAGTCTAATATGGTGATCTATAAAAAAATGTCTAGTATGGTGATCTATAAGATGGCTTGGGAAAAAAAATTACATCCTCAACTTTTCCTATGAGCTTAGCCAAAAAATAAACTCCAATTCTTGTGGAGTCAAGTAATAATACATTCACTACTTCATTATATAAAAAAAAACACATGTAAAAACTCTTGCCACCTTAACTTTACTAGTCAATATACTCTCAAATATAAAATAGGCATTATAAAAAATTTCCTCATAAAAGTCACAAGAATTCATCCTCTCATCCACTTCTCTTTAGAGAACTTAACATAAAACAAATGCTAGTTAATAATGGTTTACTGAACCATCTTATAGATCACCATATTAGAGATTTTCTTTCTAATGTAACCAACAGTGAACAATAACATTAACATTTTCTACAAAAATCAAATGCATCATAACTATAAGCAGAATAAATCTTTACTTAGAAACATTATAAAGAAATACACCACTATGCCAATTGACAAAAATAAGAAAATTATATTAATTATCTACTATATATATATATATATATATATATATATATATATATATATAGAGATAGAGAGAGAGAGAGAGAGAGAGGAGGGATCAAAATAAGTTGGTTCACAAAAACATCAAAGTAAAGGATCTGAACAGAAAAGACATGATACATAAAATCTAAGTTTTATATAACAGGATGAAGAAAAAAATTATTTTTCACAATTGAAGCAAGAAGTATCAGAACAACAATAAAGACAAATTCTAGAACAATCTATTTTATTCTTAAAATTTTATTTTTGTTTTCCTGCTTCTTGCTACAATTGTGAAAAAATAGTTTTTTTTTTCCCTTTCCAATATTAAAATACTAAAAATTCTGACAAAGATAACAAAAATAGAAAACAAAAATAACTAAACTGATCAATGTGTGTGTGTACTTATTTATCTTTTCTTTTTTTTTCTTTTTGTAAGAATCCTGGAAGATGAGACATGCATGGAAATAGAATTAGTTGAGAAAAGGAACTCTCCTGAAGACTTTTTCCTGCCAGAATGTAAAATGGGAAAATAAATAAATAAAAATGAACAATGACTACTTCTTTTCTCAAATGTTGATAGAAGAAAGCAACAAAAGTTGCTGGCACCAGACAGTTTCTTTGAAATCTTTCCTTTGTTTAAGTGTTGGATCAATTTCCTTATTTTTCAACCAATTGAAAGACTCTTAAATAGCTCAGGCAACATGTACTGATTCCAACCAAAGCTTGTTCTTATTGTTGTTGCAAGTATCAAATGCTAACTTCAATGAAAAAAAAAAGAAAAATTTTTAAAAATTCAAAAAAGCTATTGCCAAGTCGTAATATGTCTGTCAGGAATATTGTGGCATGGTGGTGAAGAAGCCATATTGTACTTTTAATTCTAAAATAATTAAAATGGAAATTTATAAATACAGTCTTTTAATGGAAGTTAATGTCATTGAAAGAAAGGTATGAGTTTTTTTTTGTTTTTTTTTTTAGTAGAGTACGTTTTCATAGAAACATTTTTGTTCAAAAGAGTTTTATTTTTAAGAAATAATAATGAGTCATCAAGCAAACTATATAATTTTGATTTTGGCCATGGTTTAAATGTTATCATATTTCTACAAAAAAAGTTGCATTTAAAAAAGGTAAAGGTTAAATTTAGACGTTTTTTTTTTTATTTTTGCTTTATATTTGCATTTTCTATTGACTGAAATAGATAAATAGATAGATATGAATAGACTAATAGACAGATATGAATAGATAGATAGATAGATATGAATAGATATGAATAAATAGATAGATAGATAGATATGAATAGACTAATAGACAGATATGAATAGATAGATAGATAGATAGATATGAATAGACTAATAGACAGATATGAATAGATAGATAGATATGAATAGACTAATAGACAGATATGAATAGATAGATAGATAGATAGATAGATATGAATAGACTAATAGACAGATATGAATAGATAGATAGATAGACAGATATGAACAGATAGATAGATATGAATAGTCTGAGCCTAATGGGCCATGTAACAAAACATATCATCCAAATCCTGATTAACTGAACATGCAGTAGAATCAGACCAAAAATAAGACAATAACAGTGTGTGTTCATCGAAGACACCAGAACAAGGAACACAATATTTATGCTCGGAAAGTTATCAGAAAGAGCAATACAAATGCAGAAATTCGTGTACTTGTTTTTTAGAGATTATGTAAAGGCATTTGATAAAGTATGTCACAAAGATCTGTTGGAACTGCTCAGCAACCTTGACATATTTAGGAAGGATATTCGAATAATCAAGAACCTATACTGGCAGCAAACAACTTGCATACAGATAGAAAATGAGCTCAGCAGATATACAAAAGTAGAAAGGGGTGTAAGACATGGATGTGTCTTCTCACCAGATTTATTCAACCTATACAGTGAGGTGATTGGAAGTCTGATCAGGAATCATTATTGGGTGGCCACAATCTTAACAACATAAGACATATAGATGACACAATGTTGATGGCAGACACAGAAAGAAAACTACAAAAACTTTTATAGAAGGTAGCGAAGGAAAGCAAAAGAAAAGGATTTAACACCAACTGAAAGTGGACAGAATCCATGGTTGTTAGCAAAAGGATGAGCCTAAAATGCAAATTACAAATCAGAGACATTAAAATCAAACAAGTACAAAAGTTTAAATATCTGGGAAGTCTTTTAACGGAAAGTGCAATACTGAAATTAAAAGGCGCATTGGGATAGGCAAAGATGCATTCCAAAACTACAAAAGGATGCTGAGAATACCATGGACTGATTATGTAAGCAATGATGAAGTTTTAGAGAAAATGGAAACAAAAAGTGCCCTTATATCTAACATCAGGAAGAAATAGTTGAAATTTCTAGGGCACATAATGAAGAAGGAAGGCTTGGAAAATCTGATACTCACAGGACAGATTGAAGGTAAGAGGTATAGAGGAAAACAATGCAACCTAGTGATCTTTAATAAACAAGGTTTAGAAGAGATAAAAAAAAAGACACAATTTATTAAGAAAAAAGATAAGAAATTGTGTAGAGCCATTATCGGCTATGCCCTGAGGGGACATGGTACATAAAGAAGAATAGATATATATATAAATAGACTAATAGATACATAGGTAGATATGAATAGATTAATAGATAGAATTAATATGAGTAAAAGTTTGTCACTTAGCTGACTGATGTTACCTTCAGTATCTTGACTTTGTATGCAGACTTGTCCATCCACTCTTCAGGGGATATCAGCAATTGGCTACTTGGATTTTTTTATGCACTTATCATTGATGTAATTTTTTTCTTGTATTGTTTGTGTTTGTAGGTGCATTGATGTAATTTTTTTTTGTGTATTGTTTGTCTGTGTAAATGTAGGATGTCACATGTCATTTTCATTTTATTTTTTCCATGTTATACTCACCTCTTTTTTTCAAAATTCTTTTTTTATTTTGATACATCAGAATGTGAGATAGATAGATATGAATAGACTGGTATATATATATATATGTGCAGATAGATATGAACACACTAGGTAGATATAAGTTGAGTAATACAGCGATAGACAAACATGAATAGACTGATAGATATCAATAGACTGGAGATCTGTGTAAATAAAACCAAAATAGTTGAGGATAGATATGAATGCGTGATCATTTTGTCATTTTTACAAATGAATGAATTTTAACATTTTTCCATGTTATCACCTCACTCTTTTTATCTTTTTTCCATCTTTTTTTTTTTCCCTCTTTCCTTTCAAAAATTTGTGACTATTCTGTTATTATAGTCTCTAAACAAGTTAACATTTTTTATTTTTGATACATCAGAATAGACTGAGATAGATAACTTGATTTTCATGAATAGACTAATAGATTTTCACTCTCCCCAGACGATGATATATATATATATGATGTATGATGAGACCAATAAATGAGATAAATCAAGAGATGATAGATGATTTTTCAATCTGATGTGAAATATGATTTTCACTGCTAGATGATGTGATAATGATATTTTCAAGTTGAGTAATTTTCCAGATGATAGACAAACATGAATAATGACTTTCAATAGATGATGATATCAATCTGCCCAGACTGAGATAGATATATAATGTATATATCAATAAACCAAAATAGACAGAAATTGAGATAGATATGAATGCGTGTATATTTTTGTATCATAGATTTTACAAATGATGAATGAATTTTCAATCTGCCCAGATGATGGATAATGTGAGGATTTTCAACAGATGATCGGATAATGGAATTTGTGACTCTCACCAGCCTTGATGGGATAATGTTGATTTTCAATTTATCAGATGATGTGGATAATGTAGTTTTTTCCATCTTTATTTTTTTAAACTTCCCAGATGATGGATAATCTGATTTTCAATCCCCAGATGATTCATGATGATTTTCAATCTGCCCAGATGATTCTAATGTGACTTTTCATTCTGATGATGGATAATGTGATGATTTTCATTTAGATGGGATTTCTTTTTCAATCTGCCCAGATGATGGACTGTGAAACCTGATTTTCAGCCCAGATGATGGAATAATGTGATGATTTTCAGGACAGATGATGGATAATGAATGATTTTCAATCTGCCCAGATGATGGATAATGTGATGATTTTCACCCTCCCAGATGATGTGATAATGTGATGATTTTCAATCTCCCAGATGATGTGATAATGTGATGATTTTTTCAATCTCCCCAGATGATGGGATAATGTGATGATTTTCAATCTGCCCAGATGATGTGATAATGTGATGATTTTCAATCTGCCCAGATGATGGGATAATGTGATGATTTTCAATCTGCCCAGATGATGGGATAATGTGATGATTTTCAATCTGCCCAGATGATGGGATAATGTGATGATTTTCAATCTCCCCAGATGATGTGATAATGTGATGATTTTCAATCTCCCCAGATGATGGGATAATGTGATGATTTTCAATCTGCCCAGATGATGATAATGTGATAATGTGATGATTTTCAATCTGCCCAGATGATGGGATAATGTGATGATTTTCAATCTGCCCAGATGATGGTGATGATTTTCAATCTGCCCAGATGATGGATAATGTGATGATTTTCAATCTGCCCAGATGATGGGATAATGTGATGATTTTCACTCTCCCCATGATGGATAATGTGATGATTTTCAATCTGCCCAGATGATGGGATAATGTGATGATTTTCAATCTGCCCAGATGATGGGATAATGTGATGATTTTCAATCTGCCCAGATGATGGATAATTGATTTTCAATCTCCCAGATGATGGGATAATGATGATTTTCCTCTCCCAGATGATGTAATGCCCAGATGATGGGATAATGATTTTTCAATCTGCCCAGATGATGGAATAATGTGATGATTTTCAATCTGCCCAGATGATGGGATAATGTGATGATTTTCAATCTGCCCAGATGATGGGATAATGTGATGATTTTCAATCTGCCCAGATGATGGATAATGTGATGATTTTCAATCTGCCCAGATGATGGGATAATGTGATGATTTTCAATCTCCCCAGATGATGGGATAATGTGATGATTTTCAATCTGCCCAGATGATGGGATATAATGTGATGATTTTCAATCCCCCAGATGATGGAATAATGTGATGATTTTCAATCTGCCCAGATGATGTGATAATGTGATGATTTTCAATCTGCCCAGATGATGGGATAATGTGATGATTTTCAATCTGCCCAGATGATGGAATAATGTGATGATTTTCACTCTCCCCAGATGATGGGATAATGTGATGATTTTCAATCTCCCAGATGATGGGATAATGTGATGATTTTCAATCTGCCCAGATGATGGATAATGTAATTTGATGATTTAATGTGATCAATCTGCCCAGATGATGGGATAATGTGATGATTTTGTGAATCTGATGCCCAGATGATGTGATAATGTGATGATTTTCAATCTGCCCAGATGATGGATAATGTGATGATTTTCAATCTGCCCAGATGATATGGAATAATGTGATGATTTTCAATCTGCCCAGATGATGGGATAATGTGATGATTTTCAATCTGCCCAGATGATGGAATAATGTGATGATTTTTCAATCTGCCCAGATGATGGAATAATGTGATGATTTTCAATCTGCCCAGATGATGGAATAATGATGATGATTTTCAATTTTCTGCCCAGATGATGGAATAATGTGATGATTTTCAATCTGCCCAGATGATGGGATAATGTGATGATTTTCAATCTGCCCAGATGATTTAATGTGATGATTTTCAATCTGCCCAGATGATGGGATAATGTGATGATTTTCACTCTCCCCAGATGATGTTAATGATGATTTTCAATGATGGGATGATAATGATGGATTTTCAATCTCCCAGATGATGGGATAATGTGATGATTTTCAATCTGCCCAGATGATGGATAATGATAATGCCCAGATGATGGATTTTCAATCTGCCCAGATGATGGATAATGTGATGATTTTCAATCTGCCCAGATGATGTGATAATGTGATGATTTTCAATCTGCCCAGATGATGTGATAATGTGATGATTTTCAATCTGCCCAGATGATGGATAATGTGATGATTTTCAATCTGCCCAGATGATGGGATAATGTGATGATTTTCAATCTGCCCAGATGATGGATAATGTGATGATTTTCAATCTCCCCAGATGATGTGATAATGTGATGATTTTCAATCCTCAGATGATGGAATAATGTGATGATTTTCAATCTGCCCAGATGATGGAATAATGTGATGATTTTCAATCTGCCCAGATGATGGGATAATGTGATGATTTTCAATCTGCCCAGATGATGGGATAATGTGATGATTTTCAATCTGCCCAGATGATGGAATAATGTGATTTTTCAATCTGCCCAGATGATGGAATAATGTGATGATTTTCAATCTGCCCAGATGATGGGAAATGTGATGATTTTCAATCTGCCCAGATGATGTGATAATGTGATGATTTTCAATCTGCCCAGATGATGATGGATAATGTGATGATTTTCAATCTGCCCAGATGATGGGATAATGTGATGATTTTCAATCTGCCCAGATGATGGGATAATGTGATGATTTTCACTCTCCCCAGATGATGTGATAATGTGATGATTTTCAATCTGCCCAGATGATGTGATAATGTGATGATTTTCAATCTGCCCAGATGATGATGGGATAATGTGATGATTTTCATGATCTCCCCAGATGATGGGATAATGTGATGATTTTCAATCTGCCAGATGATGTGATAATGTGATGATTTTCAAGATGATGTGATATGTGATGATTTTCAATCTGCCCAGATGATGGGATAATGTGATGATTTTCAATCTGCCCAGATGATGGGATGATAATTTTCAATGATGATTTTGATTTTCAATCTGCCCAGATGATGGGATAATGTGATGATTTTCAATGCCCAGATGATGATAATGTGATGATTTTCAGATGATGGGATAATGTGATGATTTTCACTCTCCCAGATGATGGGATAATGTGATGATTTTCCTCTCCCAGATGATGTGATAATGTGATGATTTTCAATCTCCCAGATGATGTGATAATGTGATGATTTTCAATCTGCCCAGATGATGGATAATGTGATGATTTTCAATCTGCCCAGATGATGATTTTCAATCTGCCCAGATGATGGGATAATGTGATGATTTTCAATCTGCCCAGATGATGGGATAATGTGATGATTTTCAATCTGCCCAGATGATGGAATAATGTGATGATTTTCAATCTGCCCAGATGATGGGATAATGTGATGATTTTCAATCTGCCCAGATGATGGGATAATGTGATGATTTTCAATCTGCCCAGATGATGTGATAATGTGATGATTTTCAATCTGCCCAGATGATGTGATAATGTGATGATTTTCAATCTGCCCAGATGATGGGATAATGTGATGATTTTCAATCTGCCCAGATGATGGGATAATGTGATGATTTTCAATCTGATGGGATAATGTGATGATTTTCCCCCAGATGATGGGATAATGTGATGATTTTCAATCTGCCCAGATGATGGATAATGTGATGATTTTCAATCTGCCCAGATGATGGATAATGTGATGATTTTCAATCTGCCCAGATGATGGGATAATTTGATGATTTTCAATCTGCCCAGATGATGGATAATGTGATGATTTTCAATCTGCCCAGATGATGGATAATGTGATGATTTTCAATCTGCCCAGATGATGGATAATGTGATGATTTTCAATCTGCCCAGATGATGGATAATGTGATGATTTTCAATCTGCCCAGATGATGGAATAATGTGATGATTTTCAATCTGCCCAGATGATGGATAATGTGATGATTTTCAATCTCCCAGATGATGTGATAATGTGATGATTTTCAATCTGCCCAGATGATGGGATAATGTGATGATTTTTCAATCTGCCCAGATGATGGATAATGTGATGATTTTCAATCTCCCCAGATGATGGATAATGTGATTTTTCACTCCCCAGATGATGGGATAATGTGATGATTTTCCTCTCTGCCCAGATGATAATGTGATATTTTCATCTGCCCAGATGATGGGATAATTGATTTTCAATCTGCCCAGATGATGGGATAATGTGATGATTTTCAATCTGCCCAGATGATGGGATAATGTGATGATTTTCAATCTGCCCAGATGATGGATAATGTGGATGATTTTCAATCTGCCCAGATGATGGAATAATGTGATTTTCCTCCCCCAGATGATGGGATAATGATGATTTTCAATCTGCCCAGATGATGGGGATAATGTGATGATTTTCAATCTGCCCAGATGATGGATAATGTGATGATTTTCAATCTGCCCAGATGATGGGATAATGTGATGATTTTCAATCTGCCCAGATGATGTGATAATGTGATGATTTTCAATCTCCCCAGATGATGTGATAATGTGATGATTTTCAATCTCCCCAGATGATGTGATAATGTGATGATTTTCAATCTGCCCAGATGATGTGATAATGTGATGATTTTCACTCTCCTCAGATGATGGGATAATGTGATGATTTTCACTCTCCCCAGATGATGTGATAATGTGATGATTTTCACTCTCCCCAGATGATGTGATAATGTGATGATTTTCAATCTGCCCAGATGATGTGATAATGTGATGATTTTCAATCTGCCCAGATGATGGGATAATGTGATG